ATGTATCATCTAGAATGCCTGTGAACCACACTTCACATTCTAAAATATAAAAAGAACTATTCCTCTATCCTTTATTTTAGGATAACGCTGATGGCAAAACAAAAAAATCTTTAAAACCCAGGTTTATACAAATCCTAGATTCTATATATGCCAATTTTCAAACCAAACTGAGTGTGGGCGGGAGACTGAGGTTTCACTAGAAATAAAACTCTCCACAAAACACATTGGTTTCAATATTTAATAGTAAATTAGTTATTTCTAAATGTAATTCTTAGATTATAACTATTATATGAGTTTCCATTTTTGCAGAAAGAAAGCCTAGAAATCCATTATTTTAATCTAATATCAATTTCCAATTGTCACCAAACAAGTTGTTTGCTATTTTGGGAGCTCTGCTTTTTTCCAAAGATAGCAGATGATCCAGTTAGCCTCAGAGCTCAAATATCTCTCTCTTCTATGCTACTCTGTACTGTTTGACTAATCCTACCTTAAAATTTCAAGTTTACATTGAATTGATGAGATTTGGATATAAGGTCCAGCTGTTAGTTTACAGATGAGAAAGCTAAGAAAAAAAAGTCCTAGTTACTCCTAAGTTGTGACAGAGCCAAGATTGTAATGTAACTCAGCACATTTTGCCACATGGAACCATGACACCTACCTTCAAGGATTATTGTAAGGATCAAGTGAGACAAAACAAACGCTCTGGAAACTACATATAAGGGAGTCAAAGTCAGCCAAGCACTGCTTTATAAATTTGTATTTCCATACACAAGATACAATACTATGTTCAGATTCTCTCCACTCCGGAGACTGCTCTTAATACCATCATCATAATCTTTTTTGGACCAAATACCCTCAATTTCATTCCTGGGTCCTGAATTAAAGATCTGCTTCCAATACCCTATCAATAATGAATGATTTCCTTCTGGTAGACATTTATAATCTTTGCAGGTCACACTTACGGTGATTTAAATATGGGCTCTTTATTAAAGGAAAAACGGTTGTATTGAGCATTGTGAAGTACTCAATATTACATAAGGCTCATTTATGCATCCACAATTTCATTGTTTTACCAAATAAATTATTCTATATAGTTTCATATAAATGAATTTATCTAAGTTCAACACATCATTTAACACCATCTGTTTTTTCTACTGTCTCCAATAATAGCAAATGTATTATTCCAATAAACCCATGGAATATGATACCCTAATAATTAGTAATAGTTCACTGTAAGAGCAATTCTTCCTTAAGAAAAAGCAAAGTTTAGAAAAGCATCTCCTCCGATTGATTTGAATATGCCCCAGTTAAGATTTAGACCTAAGTAATCTATAATTCAAGACTTTAAACCACAATACCATAAGAAATGACTGGCATATAATTTCTGCTTTGATTGATGGAAACTAGAGAAAGGCATTAAATTATTTCTACCACCATTAACTTGAAACTTTAAAACTCTCTCACCCTTGAATAAATAAAAACTTCAAAACCAGGTCTTCTACCTAAAAAGACTCTCACACAGACAATGAAAAAGATTAAGAAATCTATTGAATAACATATTCTGGCATTTGCTCTCTTCATATATTTTAAAGCAAGTCAATAATGCTATGTTCCAAATTCAATGTTGATGGAAAATAAATTTCAAAGAGGTACAATTTTAAAGTCACGTTTCCTAGTTTTAAACTGTCTCAAAATAAAACCTGCAGTTATAGATTCCAAAGTATTTTGAACTATGAGTTCTATATACAACTTCTCTTATTTCAACCATTTGGTCTAATTTTTAGTAACCCCCAATTTCAGATCCTAGTTCTCACCTATTTGATGTCTCTGAACAGCTATCACTTGAATTACCCATTACTTATATATCTATTACCATTATCTCTATCAAGGTTAATTAGGTAAAATGCATAGCATCTTATTCTCTATTTTGAGGTTACAATAGTTAATTTTTGTGCTTGGGGCTAGCAGGTTTTACTATCTTCCCTTATTTTTTAAGACAGCAATGGTAGTTTTAAATAGAAATAACCATTTCTATTTTTCAAATCATTAGAGCCCAATATACCAGTATATACATGTGTAAAACACTCCTCTATATAAACACTACTTGATTAATTGGGGTACCCTGAAAGTCTCTTCTGTTAAAAACCCATCAAGTAACAGAATTAAATCTATATGCTTTCTTGGTAAAAACCCAAACTGATTTCAGTGACGGAGCATTACTACTATACATAAACCAACTTACTTATTTTCAGTGTCTGCAACTGGATGTTCTTCACCTTCTGGTGTTTCCTCAGTCACATTTGGTTGCTCCAAGTCACTGCAATTATAAGATATTTGTTTCTGAATGTATTTTGGGGACTCTCTAAGGAAAGAAAGAAAAAGAAAGGCATCTAGGTCCATTTACATGTAGCTGAAGAATTCATTATACAAAAATATTTTAAAATCCTCACATTCCCTGTGTCTTTTCCTACTAAATGTATACTCCAGTAGACCTTCAAGAGGAAATAATTTAAAAATGTGTACTGATCCAAGTTATAGTATTTTACTCAAAAAGAAACAGGACAGAAGTTAGTTTTAAAATAATGCCTCACTTGCTTATCAAATTTTTCTAATAACCAGAAGGGTCAATAGCTACAAACTATTAAAGACATAAAAATAAGAATACCCAAACAACTTCAATGCAGGGTTTCAGAAAAAGCTATATATACATATGAAAAGAAAAACTGATATCACATATACTGAAATATGAAAAAATTGGTCACTTCATACAACTATAATCTAAACATATCCAACAAGAGGTTATCTTGTATGGAAGATATACAAGATATTTAGCTATAAGAGTTATTCCATTCTTGTCGCAGAGACAAATAATATTTAAGAGTTATGGGCGAGCCTCTAGTAAGGTATAGGATCAATTTTATTAAAATTATTTTAAAAAATCAGAATACCAACGTTAATTCATCTTTGACAGTTCCCCAGTTGTGAGATCCGCTACCTCCACGTTTGTCCTCGTGCTTCAGACCACTGTAATGTGAGAAAGAACTAAAAAAACTGAGTTAACATAATACTCTTTAATTCTAGAAATTCAAAGTTTGTTTTATTAAAAAAAAGTAGACTCAAATATAATATAATAAAAACCAATATAAGACTTACGATCTATCACTTCCACTATGCCTATCAAATTCACGTTTGCCACGAGAGTCAAATCCATCTCCTCGGCCCATTCCGCGTCCACGTCCTCCTCGACCTCTTCCAAGACCACCACGGCCTCGGATAGGCCGGTCAATAATCGGTCTATTAACAAATAAAGATTATATACATCCCAGGTTTCCAGAAAAAAGAATAGGGAAATTCATTCAAAGACTCAAAAATACAGGAATACATTTATTGGCTCATAAGCCAACAGTTATAAACACATGTTTTAGAAAATTCAAAACAGTCTATTTCTAAACACATGAAGGAAATAAAAACAACTAGGAAGCTACTCCCACAACAAGAACATTAATTTTACATTTTCTAAAACTTATTAGTGCACATACTTTTTATTGTTATTCGTTTACATAATAACCTAATAAAACTACTATTCATCAATACATTTAATAATTAAAATAAACAAATCTAACCTGCAGAATGAGTAATCTGCTTTGCTATAAACAATACAACAGAACTTTCCTGTTAACATCTGGGGACAGCAAGAAAAAGAAATTGTCTATCAATTCAACTAAGTGTTTCACTACAAGGGATCTAAGGTTGAACACTAAAAACTGCTATTGAAGTAACAATTCAGATGTTTCTTTGTAAAACTGATAAACATAACCAGCCACACTGCTACCTGGCAATTATTACCAATTTATAGCTTTGTGTTGAGACTCTATAAACTGACAAAACATGAAGAGATTTGAAAAAATCTTGCCTATCAACTGAAAATTCTCCTCCTTCACCCTTTTCTTCAAGTGGCTTTTCAAATCGTCTTTCACGAGGTGGTCGCCGTTCTGGTCTCCTATCAATTATTTTCCCTTCACCCTGAAGTTGTTGATCAGGTCTTCTTCCAACACGTCTTATTCCTAAAATGATAAATAACCAGCATAAGCAAATTATTTTTGCAACTCAAAAATTTTAGGCCTAGACTTAAAAAAAACATGTTAATCTTCAGGTCCCCTAACTAGCACTTACTGTTGAAAAAGGCAAACACTGGGCATATCTAAAGTGGAACAAAGTACTTTAGAGAAACTCCTATTTTAAATAAACTTGTTTCAAACTTCTATCTAGTTTGCCAAGTCACTTTCACCCCCTAAAAGCATTCTCTGCAACTGACTTAAAAGTTACCTGGGTAGCTGGCCATTTCTCCTCTCACTTTTTAAAATGCCAGTCTCTTACTTTAAAATTCTAAATTTAAAGAAATTTTAGGCAAATGATACATTTTGGCTTTAAATACACCAAAGATAACACCAGCAGCCATTCATAAATAACCAAGCAAATTCATACACATTCACATTCAACAGATAAGGACCCTAAAAAAAATTTTTTTTAAAGTAAAGGCCACACTTTTAGTTTACATAATCTGGAGGGGGGAAAAAACACCTCAAGTGTAAAAAAAAAAGACTGATAATCCTATGAAATTACAAAATTGAAAGGAAAACAACTAGCATCTAGGATTACATATCCAGTCTAAAATAGCTATTTAACCAGAAAAAAGTACCTCCTCTATTAGTTTTTACATATGTTTTATACACACTACACCTAACAGAAAAACTGTTATGCAACCTCTAAAATACTCGATATTTTACTATTATGGATGGATAACATTTCTTTTGGTTTGTTCTTACCAGTGCATTTACCCTGTTAGTATCTAATGCCAAGAAGCAACCAATATGCATTACTGGTGGCCTTAAGAATAAGTAGATTGGTGGTTAAACTCAAGTCTGTAAAATTCAGGTATGCCATAATTCCCAAACCACAATTTCTGTCAAGGCCAAACAGCAGCCAAGGAACTGTTTTTGTAACAAGATCTTAAGTTGATTTACCCTGGTTCTTTCTAAGAAAGTGGAACACAATCAAGATTCACCCAACTGTTTAAGTAGAGTAAAACAGTAAGTACCAAACTCTGATGAAATTTTAAAGTCCACTCCACATAAACTCTCAGTGTAGGCACATTGTTAGATCTTACACCAAGGCATCTTAAATAAATTTCATCAGAGCTAAAGTGCATTGGGGTGGAGCTTGGAACCAGTCTTTATAATGATATCCAAGCCAAACACACCCAAATGAACAATGGCTTATTTCCCCACCCAATATTCAATATTAGGCTTACAGAATCTAAAAAACTTACCAAATATATTCAACCAATAGTCATCATTTAAAAATGCATGCTTCTCTTGATATATTTAGCTGTACATGCAAGCTCACTTGATTTTCACTAGATACCAGGCTTTTAATTAAAAACAAAAAACATCACATTGGTCTATACTCAGTGATAGTCTGTAGTGTCAATTCTCAATTCTTCAAATGGACAAAAGACTAGCTACAAAGCTAATTCTTATAATATGAACATTAAATATATATCTAAGGTAGTCTAGCACTATACCAGGACCTTTCTTCAAAAGCACAGAACACAGGATCAGGCTAACTATCCTTCCCCAATGCCCACAACATCAACTGACAGCAGGATCTCAAAATGAGTTTTTTCATTCAACATTTTCCCTTTATTTATAAATGTTTTATGCAATTTAAAGTTAGGAGTGCTCTGAAATACTGATCTAAGGAAAATGTTGATAGCTAATATGGGAGATTTCCCGAAGACCACTGAATTATAAATGTATGAAGCAATTCCCTAACCTTTGTAACTTAAAATACTAGTTTCCAAGTAAGAGCTTATTTCAAAGATGGGCTTTATGATCAAAACAACTGAGGGATTTCAAACATGCTTCATCCTTTGAACATTCAAAATGGGTGAACACACCTACCTTGCACATTTTAGATTTACGATTCAGACTCAATTTTTTCATGTGCTTTCTTGGGATTATTCTGATCAAAGAGGTAAAGATGAGCAGTTTAAATAATTACACAAGCTAGTCAAGCGAGTGTTCCTTAACACAGAAATTAAAACGATTTATTCAGTTGTGATACAGGTTGCTGTCAGTCTTAGTTGACAAAACAGATATTTGGCTTACTCGGTGTACACATGCTTTCTAATACTCCAACTTGTGCTTCCCCGGACCCACAATTTTAGTACAGGAATTCTTTTGTTTTATTCACCACTTAGTTCTTTATGTCAAAACCTCACAGTTCTAGTTAACACACACACACACACACAAACACACACACACACACCAAAACCCTAAACCAAAATATAATACACGTGTTTAAATTTAAAAAAAGAAAATTAGTTGAATGTTAAGGAATCCAACTTAAAGCTAATGAGAAACAACTCCTTTCCGGAGCACGTGGCAGCAAAGCGAGATTTCAACGTTGACTGTAGAAAACCAACCAAGATCCGGAGCCTGGCTTATTTGCTGTGGATCCCGTCTGCTTTTTCTGGCCCCCAACTGTTTTGCTTGTCCCAGTCACCACAAAAGACAAACACGTAAATGCGTGAGAACGCAACACCCAAGCTCGGGACACTCGGGTGAAGCGTCCGGCGTGACCTGGAAGCAGCTCCCGCCGCCGCCAATGAGACGCCGAGCACGCTTCCCGCACGTGTGGAGGGAAAGCTGCACCCGAGAGCTCCCCGCGGCCGCTGGGCGAGCGTGACAGCCAGTGCGCTCCTCTCACCACGCGGCCGGCGCGGAGCCGCCCCACCTGAAGCGCGGGGGGCGGAGAAAGGGTCGCGACCAGAGGGCGACCCCCAGGGCTCCCTGCAAGAGCCCCTCTCCATTCAGAAGCCCCGCGTCTGCGTCATCGCATGCAGCCCAAAGCCTCCCCTTCCCAACAGCTTCACTCGCTGCAGCCACTTACCAAGTTTAAAATAGTGGAGAGGGTGTGTGTGTGGGGGGGGGGGGGGGGTGTACAAGGAGGCGCATGGGGCACCTAAGACAGGTAGCTCACGCCGCAGTACCTGACCCCCAGCTTCTCACCGTCGTGGGACAAGATGGCAGGACAGCAGCCCAAGCCAGGCAACCGCACCTCAGAGCAGCAGAGAGAGCGAGCTCTGAGCGGGAGGGAGCCGGGGACCCCACGCTTCCCGGGAGCCTCAGGTCAACACCC